CCCCATGTAGAGCGCATTGCAATAATCCAGCCTTGAGGTGACAAGGGCGTGAGTTACTGGAGTCCTAAATTCTTTCTATGAAAAACACACCCATATATTTGGGGCCACTGTTGTTCCATCTGCCACCATTGGCAGTATAAGTTTCATGTCCGTTCCCTCTTTACTCTAAGCTATTCTCAATTTTGGCAAAATTAGAAATCTGAACTCCCCAAATTCCCCAGCCAACATGATACGTGTGGACTTAAGTCGAATTAAGTCACAGTTGAAGTCCAGACATCTTAAAATTGCCAGGGCTGAGAAACACTGCTCTAAGAAAGCCAAATCGGAGACTTCATCCATTAATTTGAAAAGTTGTGAACAAGTACAGGTAGTCCTCGACTTATGACCACAAAACATGTTGCTAAGCAAGCCAGTTAAGTGAATTTTGCCCCATTTTATGACCTTTCTTGCCACAGTTGTTAAATGAAACTCTGCAGTTGTTAAGTTAGTCATACGGTTAAGTGAATCTGATTTTCCCCATTGATTTCACTTGACAGAAGGTTGCAAAAGATGATCACATGTTTCACTGCAACCATCATAAATATGAATCAGTCGCCAAGCATCTGAATTTTGATCCTATTACCATGGGGATGCTGCAATGGTCGTAAGTGTGAAAAATGGTCACAAGTTGCTTTTTTCAGCATCAACATAATTGAATGGTTGCTAAATGACCTATTGCCGTGATGACGAACCTATGGCATGCATGCCATAGTTGGTTCACGGAGCCATATTTGCTGGCAAGTTCCCAAACTTCCAGTTAGCCCGTTGGGCCTGTTTTTTGCCCTCCCCAGGCTCCGGAGGCTTTCCCGAAGCCTGGGGAGGGCCAAAAACAGCCCCAACGGGCCAACCGAAAGTTTGGAGATGATCTGCCTCTGGTTTTCAAAGGGCCTCCGGTGGGCTGGGGGAGGCCATTTTTGCCCTCCCCAGGCTTCAGGAATGCCTCCAGAGCCTGGGGAGGGGTCATGCGTGCATGCGCGGGAAGGGGGTGTAGCGCATGCATTAGCAGGTGGACAGGGAGGATTGAATTGGTCTGAGCATGTGTGCGTGCGCTATCGCGCATGCGCACAATTTTTGGCACGAGAGAAAGGTTCACCATCACTGACCTATTGTGTGTACAGTCCTAGCAGATCTTTTGCCTTCCAAACAGTCAAGAGGGATGCAGGCGTAGGAACACTGTCTGCGCTGCGATTTGAAGCGCCAAAGAACTGACAAATGAGAGGTCGGGCATGCTGATGTCGTCTTAACGATTTCAGGGAAAGAGTGATAATGGACTACAGATAGTCCTCAACTTAAGACCATCATTGAGTCTAAAATTTATGTTGTTAAGTGAGAAATTTGTTAAGTGAGAAATTTGTGAAATTCGTGATGGAGTTTTGCCCCGTTATGACTTTCCTCCCCACATTTGTTAAGTGAATCACTGCAGTTCTTAAATTAGTAACACAGTCGTTAAGCGAATCTGGCTGCCCTGTTGACTCTGCTCATCAAAAGGGGATCGCATGACTCCGTCATAAATGCGAGTCAACTGTCCAGCGTTTGAATGTAAATCACGTGACCGTGGGGCTGCTGCCACGGTCGTATGTATGAAGAACGGTCATAAATCCCCTTCCCCCCCCCAGTGCCATGTAACTTCCCACGGTCACCAAACTAACTGTCGCAAGTCGAGGACTACCTGTATCAAGGGGCAGAAATCCGAAAGGACCGCTCGCCCTTGCAAGGACTCAGAAGTCGCGGCTTCTATCGAATGGCAACTGCTGGCTGGTGAACCGATTTCAGACGGCAGCATCCAGCCAAGTTACCTGCGAATAAAGGCAGGTCGTCGTCAACGACCACGGCCTGGATGAGCCCCGTGGCGAGCACTTGCCCCAGGAGCAATGCCAGAGACTGTCCCCGGCGTGGCCAAAACAGCCGATCGCCGCAACGAGCCATTCTCCCAGGCGCGCCCGCCTGCAACTGTTTGAACAAAGCAGGAGGAAAGGCGAGGCAGTCGAGTTTCGATACGTTGCTTAGGATGAAGCCGGGGGTGGGGGAGAAACAAACCCGGCAAATGGGATTGGCTAGTTGAGTCTGGAGTCTTGGGGGGGGGGGAGGCAAACCCGGCAAATGGGATTGGCTAGTTGAGTCTGGAGTCTTGGGGGGGGGGGAGGCAAAC